AGCCCAGGAGTTTGAGGTTGCTGTGAGCTAGGCTGACGCCACAGTACTCTAGCCCGGGCAACACAGTGAGACTCTGTCTCAAAAAAAAAAAAAAGAATAGTGCTGGTTATAATAAATCATCACGATGGTCATTAATTTACCTTTTGGTCCCTCAAGCAAAAAATTCAGAAAAATCTTATATACTTTTATTTTTAAAGGGGCACTACTGTCTGTCCTCAGAAAAAGAACAAAACTTGGGTAGTATTTTCTTCATGTTTCATTAAAACCAAGAATGGTATTGACAGTTTGTAATGTAGTGAAAAAGATATGAATTCTGTTTCGTTTAATGTTTAGCCACGTAGAAACTGTTCATTCATGTGTTTCATAATATTATTTAGAGAGTAACTCAGAATCGTATTTTGGGAAATGTATTTTGAAATATGTACTTCTTTTCCCCTTTCCAATGCTTGATAGGAAAAGATTGTAATGGGAGAGTTGTCCCCACTGATGGGGGCAGATACGATGTTCATCTGGGGGAGAGGATGCGGTATGCTGTGTACTGGGACGAGCTACCATCAGAAGTGAGACGATGTACATGGTTTTACAAGGGAGACAAAGACAATAAATATGTTCCCTACTCAGAGGGCTTCAGCCAAGTGTTGGAGGTATACCTTTGACCCTTTTTACTCATTTTTTTTTCGTTTTTTTTTTTCTCATATTTTTTTTTCCTCTTATAACTTTGTGAAATCTTCAGAAAGAGTTTGGTTCTCTCTGCATCACGTTATAAAATTTAACAAAGCACTCCATTTTGCAAGTTAGTTTCAGGACGAGGTAGTTTTATTTTCAGATTTTAAAAAACTGTGGGAACTATATTATGCTTTTTAATTTAAATTATAAAAATTTTTTTCCCTAGCGTTGATCATTGTTAATAATTAAACTATGGCCATAGAATTGATCTCTTTTGATTTTCATTTTTCTTTCTCTGAAAACTGAAATTTGTTTTCTCTAAATTGGAGCAGAACATTAATATTATTGATAAGAATATATAAAAATATGAACAGTGATTATCTAGTCTAGATGATGGAAGTAGGAGTGATCTTTTTTCTTTGTCCTGTGCTATTATCTGTTGTAATTTTAAAAGAATTTAAAAATAAATTTGATAAATTGGAGTAGGATATTCTTATTGAAACTCATTTATCTAGTAGTATTCTTGTGAATAAGTTCAGTAGGAAGCTTTTGGAGAAATCTAATGAAATTTGTTTTCTTTTAAGGAAACCTACATGCTTGCTGTAACTCTGGATGAATGGAAAAAGAAACTGGAGTCTCCCAACAGAGAAATTATTATATTACACAATCCAAAGGTAAAACAAATTAAAGCATTTGTCTAATATTGGGATTGAAGGTTAATTGCACTACTAAGGAGAACTTCGTTGGTTTCTTTTTCTTCCTATGGACTCTATATAGAATAACTT